TTTTTTAGTGCACCGTATCGAATCGATTTGAAATATCGAATCGAAAGTGCACTGTATCGAGATATGTATCGTATCGTGGCCTATGTATAGTATCGGCAACTTTTTAATAATACCCGGCCCTAATTGCGAACAGATACCTCCACTTTTATGCACGACCATTTTCATACTTCCATATTGAACTGTATTTTATGTTTTATTAGTGTCTGATTGTCGATTCTTTTGACATTCCCGTTGCACAGGGAGACTAGACCTAGATGTTTCTGACCTATTTTAAAGATGTAACGTTGACGGATTTAAGTTTTGGGTTAACAAAGTCCAGCGCCCGCACTCATAAGCCAACAGTCAGCGGTTGCTTTGTTTCGTGGATGTTTCTTTGAGTGGGACCTCATTAGAATAGACTCACAGTGAAGCCCGTATTAAACCAGGGGCCAGAGCGGGGGCCTCCTCTGGACTGAAGGGGGTCACGCGGGGCCCGGGACAGTGCAAAACGCCAGGTCCAATTACAGCGCTGACAAAGAGAGGAGAGGGCGCAGCGCTGGGAGAACTGTGTAATGAAGAAACGAGTTCATCCAACGCAGATGGAGCCAGAACACAGAGGCAGGTGCACGAATTAAAGGTGCATTGTGTCACTTTTCTGGTCGCAGGGTTCGATTATCGCGTTATTGCTTTGTCTGGGATGTTTCACAGTGTGGCATTAAACCTTTCTGTCTTCATGGACCAAAACGAGACCAAGTTACAGGTCAGATCTGTGGAGAGACGAGCCCACTCACGTCAGAATGTTTGTTTTTCTAGGTATTTTTGAGCTGTAAAATCACCTGTAATTGAATAAAAGTAGTTTAATGTGGAACATTCAGGACAGAGCAATGATATCTCCATAGAAACAAGCAGGTAATGGACCCTCAACAAAAAAAAAAGTCACACAGTGCAGCAAAAACCTTACGGTAAAAAGTGGGTTTTGTTATTTATCAACGTTTCTATGATGACGGGCTGAACAGAAAACAAAAAAGTGGCGTTGCGTTTTCACTTTTTATTCCACGTTTAGACGAGCGTTTTCGGGAGGAAATCTGCTCGCAAACGGTGACGCAAAAGTGTGTGGAATTCGATTGGGTATGTTTGTACTTATAGCAACAAGAGCGTCTTTGGACATACAGAAATTTTCATCAGCTATTCCTTCCACAAAGTTGTTCCACCATCGACTGGTTCTCCAGGTCTCGTCCAGATCCGTCTGACTCGCCTGCGACGACCTGGTGCATTCAGAATTTGACAGAGGTGATTGCAGATCCTTCTCTGTTCACTAATAGTGTCTCTGCAGATTCTGTACAATTGTTGGGAGCCTCCTGTAAGTTTATTAGAGCTTCCAGAGCAGCTTGAAGATCCGCCGCATGGAAATGATCCCACATGTTTGTTTCTGTGTACTGTATGTATGTGACGTAAACTTGTAGGCGACGTGAGCAGATCTGACCAGGGTTTTGCGTCTTGGGCAGTGTAGACGAAAATACTAACGGAGCGGATTCAACTTGGAGGGTGGTTTCAGATTTGTGAGTTTTTAAGCCCCAAAAACACCGTCACCGTCTAAATGAAAGGCACTTCCAATAAAATATTTAGTTCTTTACCTGCAAGAGAAGTGTTTTTGGCCAACAGTGTCCAGTAAATTGTCTTATAACACCAATTTACTAGTATACACTAAAATGATATATTGGCTGAACCAAATTTCTTGCAGCTGATGTCATCCTGGAGGTGTGCTGCTAACTGTAAGCACTGCTCTGTGTGAAGCTTTGTTAATGTTTGTTTAATCTGAACTTTATTTTAACTCACTCTGACCATAAAAAAGGATTTAGCTGGAACTACAACAGACAAGCTGTCCCTGTCCATTCAGAACCCTTCTCCACCCCCAGACACTGAGCAGAATTAAAGGTTGTATAGAGGATTTTTTTAAGGAAAGAGAAATCCAGCGACAGTCCTTGACACCACCTTCCTCCTCCACAGCTCCCTCTAGAAATAATTTAGAGACCAACACCTCAGTTTTTAGACCCTTTGTCTGTTTCAGTCGCGCAGTCACTGAAAGGAATCTCCAAGAATCACCTCAGTTTGTCTTCGCTCCTTTTCTCCTTCTCTTCGTCTTCAGCGACCTCAAAAACCGACTTTCTTTTGCGGCAAACTGGTCGTCGATTCTCATCCGACATCGCAACAAACTTTATGCGAACTGCGAGAGAGCCACAATTAGAAAAAGCCTCTAAGAACTGCTGCATAGTTACCTTAGAAACGTAGGGAGATTGACTGACAACCTGACAGCCAATAGAAAATGAGGCAGCCTCGTTTTCTATTGGCTGATGTTTATCTGGCCTCAACACGTCCACAGTTGATAGATTTTCTTTCTTTTTTTTTTTGGTCATGATAATTACAAAGCTGCTGCGTCTCTGTAATGGTATTTTAAACTTTCATTGACAATTTGAAACAAACAAAAAAATCCTCCATACAACCTTTAAATAAAGACGATTTAACGAGTTTTCCATGTAAACCACAATTCAGAATTATTATTTCCATGTAAACTCAAAGGAGAATATTTTAATTACCAACTATTTGATTCAGAACAATTAATTCAGAATCAAAAAACGTCATGTAAACGTGGCCACTGTGTTACCGTCACACCATAACTGATGAACATTCTACCATACACATGCACGTAGAACACCTCGTATGCCTGTTTTTCTCGCCAAAACATTATCCTTTGCCGAACAGCTTACAATCTCAGCACTTCTTACCATTTGGACGGTCCAGATGTCTTCCTATTTTGGCTATGAGCGCGCGACTCTTACCTTTAAAACCGTTAAAACAAAGTGTGTGGCCGTTTTATTACCTCAAATTTCCTACATGTAACCCAGTGTCAACAAAACGCGAAATCAGCCTTCTTAGCGCACTCGGCCGATAACCAGAAGCACATGTGAGGATGAGAAGACTTAAACCGCCGAAAAATGTCAGGTAAAACACAGGTCTTATCTCAAAGTCTATTCTGTTGTTTTTGGACAAAGTGGAATCCTTCAATCAGCTGCACAAACACCTGCTTTATTACTCCGCATCATCCTGTTTTTATTTTTAGCCGCGTGGTGGGTGTAAGAAGGCGGTTTAGGCTCCCACACGGTTTTCAATAGAACCATAAAACGAAGAGAGCGAACAGAATCAATACAGGAGGGAGTTAAGTACAGGCTTAGTTACAGACGCACGCTGAGGAGGAGGGAAACGTGTTTTATGGGGAAAATGAGCGTCTCTGGACTTAAAATATTATCAATTTTAGTATAAATATAATAAACAAAGCAAACGGATTCCTGATGAACACGGTTTATAATGAAGAACTGAAACTGTTTTCTTTTTCTTCAAGAGTTTAAAGGTGTAGTATGTAGGGGCGTGCAAAAATATTGAAAGATCAATATATCGTATCAATACAGTATCAATATCGTGGGCTGCTCTATCGATATATATCGCCAAGATCATTTTTTGGTACATTTTACTAAAATTTACAGAATTTATTGGTACATTTTATTAAATTATTTTGTTACAGTGCTGCAGTTTTTTGCTTGTTCAGAGGAAGGAAACTTGTTTACGTGACACATTTGACATTTTCACAGTTTTGATGATTAAAATGTTTGTGTTTTTCATAACTTTGCACAAAAAGTGGTTTAACAAAGACTTTCAATGTCACAGCCATGATTAGGGCTGGGTATCATTAAGAAGTTGCCGATATGATACATACCTCGATACATAGGCTACGATACAGTGCACTTTTGGTTTGATACAATATATATTTTGATATTTTTGCACACCCCTAGCCATGATTCAGCCTTTATTGTTTTTTTAATCGTATCGAATCATTTACTCATTTTGCAGCTTGTGGGTTTAATATTAGGGTTAAAGGTTGTATAGAGGATTTTTTAAGGGAAAAGACATACAGCAACAGTCCTTGTGCACTCGTGACACCACCTTCCTCTTCCACAGCTCCCTCTGTAGAAACATCTCCTCCCGCCTCTTTAGTCTAGAAATCGCACTTGTTTACATCCAGTTCAGAATTACTGTTGAAGTGACCTGTCTGGAAATAATTTAGCGACCGACGCGTCAGTTTTTAGACCCTTCGTTTGCTTCATTCGCGCAATCGCTGGAAGAGATCTCCAAGAATCACCTCAGTTTGGCTTTGCTCCTTTTCTCCTTCTTCTTCTTTCAGCGACCTCAAAAACAGACTTTCTTTTGCGGCGAACTGGTCGTGGATTCTCGTCCGCCGTCGCAACAAACTTTGTGTGAACTGTGAGGAAGCGACAGTTTGAAAAAGCCTCTAAGAACCGCTGCATAAACCACATAATCCCTGCGCACCGGCGAGTCACTTACACTAGAAATGTAGGAAGTTTGATTTGACAACCTAACAGCCAATAGAAAATGAGGTAGCCTTGTTTTCTATTGGCTGATGTTTATCTGGCCTCACTATGTCCACAATTGATAGATTTTCATTCTTTTTTTTTTTTGACATCATAATTACAAGGCTGCTGCGTCTCTGTAATGGTATTTAAACTTTCACTGACAATTTGAAACAAAACAAAAAAATCCTCCATACAACCTTTAATTTATCACGTGACCAAGACAAGCATCTTGACACGCGTCACAAATCAGTCTTAGACAGATGTAACGGAGTAAATTCAATCATTTTTCAAAATAAAACATTGTTCAGACTCAGATAATTTAAAATAAAATGGAAATAATGTAAGTTATTTATTCTTTCTGTGCAGCCCGGTACCAAACGACCCACAGACCGGTACTGGTCCCTGGCCCGGGGGTTGGGGACCGCTGAGCTACTGTGCATCTAGAGTGCATCTTTAACTACTGAATTGACTTTATCTTTTCCAGTATCTTCTGATTTTCCCATTTTAAACCTGGTCCAACTTTGACAAGTACAGTGGCTGGTGCATTACTTGACTAATTATATTTATCTCTTTGTCTCTCTGTGTTTGTCTGCTCAGGTCGGGACATGTCCAACACGACCCTCCCCGGGTACCCCCCTCATGTGCCCCCTACTGGCCAGGGCAGCTACCCCACCTCCACACTCGCCGGCATGGTTCCTGGTACGTCTCACACACAACTTTTTTACCAGTAAATTTCTTTTAAGTGACAAAATATCAAATCTTCTTCTAAAAGTGGAAAACTCTGTACTGTATACATGTTCAGACATACTGTACGTGGGATTATTGAACAGTTTGAACAGAATCCTAGCCTAATCTTTAACTATTGTCCCATTTGTTTTTTCTGTTAAATCAAGTTCAAAACTATACAAAATAAAAACCACCACCAGTTTTAGTCCTTAAAGGTGCTGTACCTGATTGTTGCCGTCTTAACAGAACTAGTTCATTTTACAAAGTTTGCAGTTGTCCAAAGTTCTTCCTGACTTACCTTATGCATTCAGAGCATCCTAATTATGTATATTATTTTATTAGAATTAAAATTTGAATTAAAAATAGGTTTCATGATGTAGATATTTGCATAGACAGAGAGATTTGTGCCGTTTAAATGCTGCAGATGTTCACAGATCAAATATCGAGCATTTAAACGGCACAAATCTCTCTGTCTATGCAAATATCTACATCATGAAATACATTTTTAATTTTAATTGTAGAATCTTAGTTAGTCTTAGTTCTGGTTTGGTCCTGGTTTAGACCTGGTTCAGTCCCGGTTTACTCCTGGTTGGGTCCCAGTTTAGACCTGGTTGGGTCTCGGTTTTGTCCTGGTTGGGTCCCGATTTAGTCCTGGTTGGATCCGAGGTTAGACCCAGTTGGATCCAAGGTTAGACCTGGTTCATTCCTGGTTTTGTCCTGGTTTGGTCCCGGTTCATTAGACCTGGTTGGGTCCCGGTTTTGTCCTGGTTGGATCCAGGTTTAGTCCTGGTTGGTTCCCGGTTTAGTCCTGGTTAGGTCTCGGTTTAGCCCTGCCTTGGTCCCGGTTCGTTAGACTTGGTTGGGTCCCGGTTTAGACTTGGTTCAGTCCCGTTTTCGCCCCGGGTGGGTCCCTGTTTAGTCCTAGCTGGGTCCCGGTTTGGTCCTGATTTAGACCTGGTTGGGTCCCCATTTAGACTTGGTTTAGACCTGATTTAGACTTGATTCAGTCCCGTTTTAGTCCTGGTTTAGACCTGGTTTAGTCCTATAAATAAGTCCTATAATAAATACACCGACATTCCCACTGATATATTGAGTGACGTTTACCCATGACACTTCCGGCCGTTGTGAAAAATGTTTATAGAGGCTTGGTTTAGACTTGGTTTAGACCTGGTTTAGACTTGGTTCAGTCCTGTTTTCGCCCTGGTTTAGACCCGGCTTAGCCCCGGTTTAGTCCTGATACAGTCCTGGTTCAGACCCGATTTAGTCTTGGTTCAGCCCTGGTTCAGCCCTGGTTTAGCCCCGGTTTAGTCCTGGTTTAGTCCTGGTTTAGTCCTGGTGACGAACCCTCCACACACCGCACCTTTACGTCCACTTCCCCTTTTAAATCTCGTGTGTGGAGTCATCCCTTTTTGTTTGTTTTTTTCCCCCGTTTCCTTCCTCCTCTGGCACGGCGATAACGGCCCTTTAACTCCACCACAACCTCAAGATTTAGTGAGAGCGGCGACGCGGCGCTAAAGCTAACCTATCCCTCACCCGCGCCGTATAAACCACCGCCTTTATTGTCCCATAAAAGACCAGAAATGTGTTGAACCAAGCCTACATCCTGGTCACATCGAGCCCCGCCAGCTAAGACGCGGATTTTGCCGTTAAATTTATAGCCGTGTATCAAATTGTATGCATAGAGCGGCGGCGTAGAGCTAGCGGTTTATTAGCGCGAGCAGATATTCGTAAATGGGCCGAGGGACAGCTAGCTTCCCTTAGCATGCTACGGCGCGCAACCTAGCATGACCTAAAATAGAAATAAATTAGTCGCTTCGCCGGTTTCGGAGATGGCGAGCGTTTTTTTCACGTTGAACGAGTGGAGTTTAATGGTTCTAGTTGATAATTTGGTCGGTGGTTTATTTGTAAAAGAGCTGGACGAGTCTGGAAACGTGTTAATTGGATTTTTATAGTAACTAGCGAGATTATTTCAGTTTAAAAATGAAGGTTTAGTTCACAAAGACCATTTTAAACTCAATTAGTTGGTTTAATAAACGTAAATATACACATTTTTAAATAAAAATTGACAAATATTTTTGTCAAATAATAAAACTAAATAAAGCAAACTAAATTTGTGTAGCATTAATTCATTCATTTTTCATAATAAAACCAAAAATAAGAAAACAAAAAAAATGTCTTCATTATTTGTCTCCAAAACCAAAATTAAAAAACGGATAACGATTTGTTTTTGTTTTTTTGTTTGATTTTTCTTTTTTTCAGTTTTTGATTTTGTTTTTTTTTTTTTTTTTTTTTTCAAAAAAGAAAAAAAAAAAAGAAAAGTTTTAGTCCTGGTTTAATCCCGGTTCAGTCCTAGTTCAGTCCTGTTTTAGTCCTGGTTTAGTCCTGGTTAGTCCTGTTTTAGTCTTGTTTTAGTCCTAGTTTAATCCTGTTTTAGTCCTGGTTTAGTCCTAGTTCAGTCCTGTTTTAGTCCTGGTTCAGTCATTCTTAATTTTGGTTTTGGAAACAAATAATGAAGAAAATTGTTGTTTATTTCATTTTCTTATTTTTGGTTTTATTTTGAAAAACAAATGAACGAATAATATGCTCATTAAACAAGACTAGATCCATGCTCCTCTTTTCAATCCCATACATCGCTAGAATAAAAATATTTTCTATTTAACTAAAATAATTATTTATTTAGTCGACTAAAATGAGCATATACGATTTTGCTGACAAAAACTAAAAAGAATTGTAGTTAAAAGACTATAATTTTATTAAAACCTATTGTCAAAATCAACACAGAACACACTACTCAAATAAGTGTAATTTTATTTATTTATTCCACTACAATGCATCTTGCAGCACTAATTTCGGGTTCAAGTGGTTTATTTATTTGTTGTTTGTTTATTTGTTTGTTTATTTGTTTGTTTGTTTGTGTTTTCAGGCAGTGAGTTTTCGGGGAGTCCGTACACTCACCCACAGTACACCACCTACAACGAGGCCTGGAGATTCAGCAACCCAGCTTTACTAAGTGAGTACACACACCTCATTTATACAGTTTATTGTGTTTAGATGAACCAGAAAAAATAAAAAAGAGACAAATACAAATGTTTTTGGCAAGTGCAAAAAATTTTATTTAAAACTGTGTTCCTTAGGTCAAATATAAACAGAAACAACACGGCCGTGAAGAGTCCAGAAGAGACACAACTTTATAAACACACAGACACACATTATAAATATATTATAACACCTAATCTAGTATAGTAATATTTTGTCAGAAATAGGGATGGGCATGATTAGTCGATTAATCGCTAATTGATCATTAAGAATTTCATCGATTACGTTCATTTTAATAGACAAACTGAATGTAAGTTGCTGTGCGTAGTGTAGGGAGACCAAACAGGTCCGTACATGTGTCTCTCTGCACTCAGAAGGAGCGAGACACAAACAGTTGATCAGCCTACAACGTGCCGAATGTGTATTTAACGATGACTTGTACAAGAAATTCCACGCTTTCCGTTGCGTTCAGGACAAGTGTGAGTCCATGTGCACAGTGTATAAAGCAGCACATATGTTTCGGTGTCCAGAGGGAAAAAGTTTTACCAGGTGAGAGTCGCGCAATGTCGATGACGAGTCCCCACCTCCCTCCCCCCGTACGGTGTCCTGGTTTGGACAAACACAAATATGGTCACACTAACCTGTATTCACCTGAATCATGTCTTTTAATCGAACAGAAATTTAACCACATCAGTGACACAAGAGCTGTTTTTTTTTCTTTGCTTAATTTATACAAATTATCCATGTGGTTTTAAGTTTTGTTTCTGTGAGAGTTGCACATAGCCGCATTAAACACATTATAATGTCAAACGGGCTGATGTGGCTCTAGAGTCGTTACGGTTTATATGTCGTAAAGTTGAATTTATTTATGCAGATTAGTAGTGCAGATAGTAATAATAATGATGATCATTTTAATATAAAAACGTCAATGATTAATCGATCGTTAATTCTTCCGACGATCGATTAAGAAAATTTCATCGAATGCCCATCCCTAGTCAGAAGTGCCTTTGGCTTAGACAGTGACAGTGTTTTTTGGGCTTAAAAACACAAAAATCTGAAACCACCTTCCAGAGTGGAAAAGTTGAACACTCTCCGCCGTAGCGTTTCCGTCTACACTGCCCAAGACGCAAAACTCTGGTCAGATCTGCTCAGGTCGTGTACACGTTTACATCACATACATCACGCTCTTCAACATTATTGATATTGCACTTTATAATCCAGTGCGCTTTATAGTCCAAGAAATACGGTAATAACATCCAGTGCAGGTTTAGTCTCAGTCTGTGTGTGTGAAAACAGAGAGTACAGGTGTAAAAAGGTGTAAAGGTCAGAGGTGAGAGGTTAGTCTGAGTGAGTTTTAGTCTCTGTGTGTGTGCTGTTTCAAAGGTGCGTTCTTCTGTTAACTTTCAGGTTCCCCTTATTATTATAGTGCCACGACGAGAGGCCCGGGCCCTGCCACTGCTGCCTCTGCCTACGACCGCTGACCCCTACCACCACCACCACCACCACCACCACAGACTGGGCATCCACATCTGAGACTACACCAGGACTAGACCAGGACTGAACCAGGACTAAACCAGGACTGAACCAGGACTGAACCAGGACTGAACCAGGACTGAACCAGAACTACGACTGCCACTGATTCCTACTGCAACCACCACCATAGACTGGAGATCCATATCTGAAACCAGGATTAAACCAGGACTGGACCAGGACTAGACCAGGACTAAAGCAGGACTAAAGCAGGACTAAAGCAGGACTAAAGCAGGACTAAAGCACTGAACCAGGACTAAACCAGGACAAAACCAGGACTACGACTGCCACTGATTCCTATTGCAACCACCACCATAGACTGGAGATCCATATCTGAAACCAGGACTAAACCAGGACTAAATCAGGACTAAAGCTAGGGCAAAACCAGGAGGACTACTTCAGGACTAAGCCAGGACAAAACCAGAACTGCACCACGTCCATCATCACCATCAGGCTGGGGATCCATATGTGAGGACGAGAACCAGGACTAAACCAAGACTAAACCAGGACTACCACGAAAAACTGAGACGGGGTCAATATCCAGGATCAGAAACCCGGACGAGATCCATATCTGAGAACCCGGACTAAACCAGGACTAAACCCTGACTAAACCTGGATTAAACCCAGATTAAACCTGGACCGATCCAGTGCAAAGTCAGGACTACATCAGGACAAAACCAGGACTAAATCAGGTCTAAACCCGGACTAAACCACGTCCATCTTCACCACAGGTTTGGGATCCATATATGAGGACAAGAACCAGGACTATACCAGGATTAGGACAGGACTAAAGGCAGCCTAACAGGACTAAGCCAAGACAAAACCAGGACTATGACTACAACTGCAACCATGACCACCATAGACCTGCGATCCATGTCTGAGACCTAGGACTAAACCAGGACTAAACCCGGACTACACCAGGACTACGACCTTAATTGACCCCTCCTTCAATTACCACCACTGACTGGAGATCCATATCTGAGACCAGGACTAAACCCGGACTAAATCAGTGCAAAGACAGGACTACATCAGGACTAAACCAGGATTACCACCAAAAACTGAGACGGGGTCAATATCCAGGATCAGAAACCCGGACGAGATCCATATCTGAGACCCAGGACGAGAACCAGGACTAAACCAGGACTACACCAGGACTACACCAGGACTACGACCTCCACTGACCCCTACTGCACTTACCACCGCTGACTGGAGATCCATATCTGAGACCAGGACTAAAACCAGACTATACAAGTACAAAGACAGGACTACATTAGGACTAAATCAGGACTAAACCATGTCCATCATCACCACAGACTGGGGATCCATATATGAGGACGAGAACCAGGACTAAACCCAGACTAAACCAGGACTACCACCACATGCTGAGACGGGGGTCAAGATCCAGGACGAGGAACAAACCCGGACGAGATCCCAGAACTCAACCAGGTCTAAACCAGGACTACGACTGCCACGGATTCCTACTGCAACCACCATATCTGAAACCTGGACTAAGACTGGACTAAATGCAGCCTAAACCAGGACTAAGACGAGGCTAAACGCAGTCTAAACCAGGACTAAACCAGGATTATCACCACAAGCTGAGACAGGGTCAAGATCCAGGACCCAGACGAGATCCCAGAACTCAACCAGGTCTAAACCAAGACTACAACTGCCACTTATTCCTACTGCAACCACCATATCTGAAACCTGGACTAAGACAAGACTAAATCAGGACTAAACCAGGACTAAACCAGGACTAAACCAGGACTAAACCAGGACTAAACCACGTCCATCAACACCACAGGCTGGGGATCCATATCTGAGGCCGAGAACCAAGCCTAAACCAGGACTAAAACCGGGACTACCGCCACAAGCTGAGACGGGGTCCAGATCCAGGACCAGGAACAAACCCGGACGAGATCCCAGAACTCACCCAGGTCTAAACCAGGACTACTTTGGACCCGCTCTGGAGGATTCAAGATGATTTTTAAAGCCAAAAGACTCGAAAAATCAAAAACAGGAATTTGCCATTTGAAATCCGCTTCTTCTTCTTCGATGAAAACTGTGCAGTAACTTATTTGAAATCGAACTAATAAAAGACAAAACGAACCACACTTTTTATGAAATTTTTGCATAAAATCGACACATTTATTCATTCGTTTACTTCTCGGACATCTGCAGGCGCCATTTTGAAGACTCTGGCCGGCTGATTATCATTTTATTTCAACTTTTTACGGACAAACTCGAAGCATGGATCTCTACTACGCCAGAAAATTACAACTTTTATTTCATTTTTTTTTCCATCTTCTGTGACAAACAATCAAAATGTACAGTCAAAACGAAGACACATCCAGTAGAGGGCGCTGCAAAAACACGCTAGTGAATATATTCTTAAAGTACTTTTTTATTTGTTTTTTATAACTCCTGGACTGCAGACTGCTTGGCTATAGCGTTTTAATATGAGAAACTGTTCAAAATGTTATAATTTCTGTTGATTTTTTGCACTATTTTGGAGGTTTGGCCACACTGGAGCGAGTTTTATGCAGAAATCTCGACGCATTATGATGATTTCGGTGTTTGTTAAGAATAATTTAATGATGTTTAAAGCGTTTGTCTGAGTTTTATGTGCACTACTGTCTCTTTTGGTTAAGTCTTTGGCGTCACACTCAGTGTTTTGGTTCGTTTTGATGAATTTTATGGATTTGGTTTGGTAAAAGGATCCATAGACTTGTTACTCATGGGAAAACTATGATTAAAAAGGTCCAAATTACTGTAGTTTCTTTGTCAAAAACAGACCTGGAGTTGTGTTTTGTTTCATTCACATGTTTTCACATAGCAGCAAACAGCAGCGATTGGTTAAATAAAAAAAGTACCCGCCTACCTTCAAGCGAACAAATCCTAATGCTGCGAGGTGAATCAGACTAAGGTAAAAGGAGCTGTTAAATGGAAAACTACTGCCTCATGATTTGGGCTGGGTATCATTAAGAAGTTGCCGATACATACATGTCTCGATACAGTGCACTTTCAGTTTGATACGATATATTTCAAACTGATTCGATACAGGTTCAATAAAATATAAAGTCGAAGTCGTGGCTGTGATACTAAAAGTTTTTGTTAAACCACTTCTTGTGTAAAGTTCATATGAAACACAAACATTTTAATCATCAAAACTGTGAAAATGTCAAATGTGTCACATAAATGAGTTTTCTTCCTCTAAACCAAACATGTCAAACTCAGGCCTGGGGGCCAAATTTGGTCTGCGATATAATTATATTTGGCCCATCAGATCATATCAAATATGTATTAGAGCTGCTCGCCGGCTACAGATCGACTATAGAGACATTATTTATTTATGTGTTTTTATTTTATATTATGCTTGTTCTGGATTCAAATTTTATTCAAAACTATTATTAAACATTTATTTTAATAAGAAAAGGTTTAACATTACATGAAAGAAGAGAAAACATGCAGATGTTTTTAGTTTGGCCTCTGTGAATTTGAGTTTGACACTCCTGATCTAAACAAGTAACAAAACTGTATCTGTAACAAAATAATTTAGTGAAATATACAAAAAAATAAATAAATTTTTGGCGCTATATCAATACAGCAGCCCACAATATCGATACTGTATCATCACATTAAACGATACGATATTTTGATATTTTTGCACACCCCTGATCACGGAGCAGTTACTCAAACATGTGAATGAAACAAAACACAACTCCAGGTCTGTTTTTAATGATTTAACAACATGACTTGAAGCTCACAAGAGTCTGTAATACAGAACCTTTAAAACAAATATATTATACAATATTCATAGCAGTATGTTACAAAAAAAAAAAAAACCAACTGGACAAATTTAACATTAAAGAAATAAAAACTATACATATCTTTAAAACTGTGAGAATAAAACCTTTTATACAACTATTGTATCCAAAAAGAAAGCAGAATGAACCTCACATGTCTCTCATTTGGGTTGCCAGATACTACAACTAAAATCAGTTGAAAATAAACCTAAAAGAAGTCTCTCTTACAGAAAATTGCAGTCTCTTAAAATACTTCCTTTAACTACAAGTCTATGGAGAGTTTAAAGCTGCACTGTGTAACTTTTTTGTTTGGGGGTCCGTCACCTGCTTGTTTCTATGGATACGTCATTGCTCTGCCTGGAATGTTCCTCAGCGTGACATTAAACAGATCCACAACTTACATTTACAGCTTTTAACACAGTCTCACACTACATCTAAACCAGGGCTAAACCAGGACTAAACCAGGTCTAAACCAGGACTAAACCAGGTCTAAACCAGGACTAAACCAGGTCTAAACCAGAACTAAACCAGATCTAAACCAGGTCTAAACCAGGACTAAACCAGGTCTAAACCAGAACTAAACCAGATCTAAACCAGGTCTAAACCAGGACTAAACCAGGACTAAACCAGGACTAAAACAGGTCTAAACCAGAACTAAACCAGATCTAAACCAGGTCTAAACCAGGACTAAACCAGGTCTAAACCAGGTAAACCAGGTCTAAACCAAGTCTAAACCAGGACTAACCAGGACTAAACTAGGACTAAACCAGGACTAAACCAGATCTAAACCAGGTCTAAACCAGGACTAAACCAGGACTAAACCAGGACTAAACCAGGTCTAAACCAGGACTAAACCAGATCTAAACCAGGACTAAACTAGGACTAAACCAGGTCTAAACCAGGACTAAACCAGTCTAAACCAGGACTAAACTAGGACTAAACCAGGTCTAAACCAGGACTAACCAGGACTAAACCAGGTCTAAACCAGGACTAAACTAGGACTAAACCAGGTCTAAACCAGGACTACACCAGGACTAAACCAGGTCTAAACCAGGACTAAACCAGGACTAAACCAGGTCTAAACCAGGACTACACCAGGACTAAACCAGGTCTAAACCAGGACTAAACTAGGACTAAACCAGGTC